GGCTCTCCTCCGCTCTCCCCTCGGATTGACTTCCTCGCCTCCTGCATGTGCCCGCAGCCACGTGTGTCGCGTTCCGCAGCCCCGCTGCCCTTGGTGCCACTTCCGTTAACCCTTCGCCTTTGTTGTCCGGACCTCCGCGTCCGTCAACATTTAATTTTTATTGTCTCTCCATCTGCGTCTGTCTGCAACACCGACTCCACTGTCGCGTCCGTTGACCCTCTGCCTTTATTGTACCCGCCTCGCCACATCTATCATCTCTTTTCGCCAAATCCACTGTTTTTCCTTTCAGAAATTTGTCGTTCCTGGATCCTGTATTTTCGACCATCCTGGTTCATATATCTCCTCGTTCCATCATTTCTGTTCTCTGTGACTCTGCCATGTGTCTTCTAACGTGAGATATCTTGGCCTCCATCTATCGCACAAGCTCGTCGAACTGGTCTTTCAATTTTACCTCTTGCTTTCATTTCACATTTATTTCCTTTAGAGTTTCACTCTCAACTCCGCTATCTACCACTCTCTAAACTGCGATCTCCACTTTACTTTAATCAATCCCAATCGCACTTCCCAATCGCGCTTTCCCATTCGTCGTCAACTCTGCTCTTCAACCTCGCTCCCCAACCCACATTCCACTTCAACACCGCTTCTCATCCCCGCTCGTCCACCTCGCCGCCTCTAACCGTCCACCCCTCGCAGTTTACCTCTCTGTATCCCCTCATCCACTTAAGTCCGAGCGACTGAGTTTAGCTCAGATATGGCATTGCCGCTGCCTCCAGCGAATCTGACCGGGCGATCCTAGGGTTTGAGTCCCGACGTTGGTTCATTATTGACACTAAATAGGTAGCTAAGTCGAATTCAGCCGCTGTCTGTATAGCAGAAGTTTCCCCACCGGCTGCTCCGATCGGTAGTTTTCCGTGGTTTCGTCGGTCAATGCCAGGGGGAATGCTGGAGCAGTGTCCTAACAATCGGACCACGGACCGCGCGCCCTCTTTCCTTCCTCTTACTTGTCCTATCCTCTCCCCTTACTCACACACATTTACACTTGCATGCCCACGCATATCGAGACCAGAAGGCAGCTTACTGCTTGACCCGGCTAGGGCTAGGGCGGAAGATATATTTGGCGAGGAAAGATCTCACAAAGGTACCATTTAAGTCGGCGCCGGATCTCACCGACCAGCGCGAGATGTACACCATAAAAAACATTCACTACACTAGTGGACTAATGACCGTATCAATCAACGATCCCGGAAACACCAACGAATCAATCAACCTAAACCCGCCCTCAACCCACGCTCCCAGCCACGCTCTTTATTCTCCTCTGAACCCCGCCACCAACCGCGCCCTCGGCCCTTGCGATCGCCCGCGGCCCTGCGCATAAATGCAAAATGGGGCGCCGTTAGGCGGGCCGCGCGCGTCTGCCTGATAATGGCCAACACAAATCAATGCCGCCGGCCGCTCCTTGATGGACGGGACGTGGCCGTGTGCGCGCGACGCGTTGCTTTGCCCTGCTCCGGGAGCGCCGGCCGCACCGGCAACGGCGCTCTATGCGCCTCGGATGGCCATGGTGCGCCGCAGAATGGCATGGCCCGGGAGGAGAGAGGCGGAGGTAAGGGAAGGGCGAGGAAGGGTGGAACAGCGGGGAGGGGAGTTGTATTTTGACAAACTGCTAAAGCATGGGAATAAACGGAACAAGTGCGTATTAGACGAAATTCCATTATCTGAATATGCCGACGCTTTAAACTGTTTTAAAAATATTTTCATGTGTAAAAAATATTTCGACTATGCTAATTCTAAATAAAAAGAATTAAACATACAGTTGGCTGGTTCTTTCTCTGACAGGCGTAGTACGTAAAAATTCAAAACAAATGTGATCGCAACTTTTCTTTCACGCCACGATCACTAACCATCCCAGAATACGGTGAATTCCCCATTCCTAATTCGAACGTTCCCAGATGAGTTGTTCTGAAGAGTACATTCTTTCAGTGTATTATTGGACGGTTTATTAAAAACTAGTGGATGTACACCGGCACATACTTTCTCTCATTATTTCTAAATATGCTATGTTCGAAAATCCATAGAGTTTAACAAAAATGGGACCTGCGCCATTCTTTTAAGTGTTCCTTGTCCTTCCTTGTTCCACGGATGTGGACAAAAGTTGAAGAAAATATTTGGAACTGTTTTTGAAAAAAATGTTTTTGTTATAAATGGCATACATTTCCAAGCACTAATTAATCAAAAACTTCTCGTTACTTTCAAATATTATAAAACTGTGATTTTCCTTTCACAGATTGAAAACATTTGGGTGATACGCAGGATTCACACCTACAATTTTAACAAAAGGTCACGCCTGCTTTTTTGCGGTCAGCTAAAAATCTCTGAGGCAATGAAGAGTAAACTTTTATTAGATATTATTAAAAATCACAATCCGTTACTTCCATTATTACACTCTGAAATTAATATTTAACTATGCATCTCGTTATGTCCCCGAATTAGGGCGATGAAAAAATTGCTTTTTCTATCCGAATTTTTCCTTTCATTCTTCGGGACAATCATAAGCAGAAAGGCATCAGTCATAAAATGCGATGATCTCTGAAACTACGGAGTTCATTAATATTATTAATATTTGATCGATTCTAAAACTCTTCTCTACATAATTTCATTTGCGGAATACTTTTATTAAACGCCACTGGTCCATTGGAAATTTCCAGACATCGTGGTATTATCTATGATAAAACTGGTCTATAAGTGAGGAGAAATGGTTCAGTAGCACGGCCCTATATTAAAATACTGCAGTACTTTGTATACTTTCAATAACGAAGTAAATTAGTTATTTTCTGCAATTTTTTAATTAATCCTATTAGATACTAAACTAGCTGAGAATAAGAAAAAGGTTATTGCAACAGTAGTGGCTCGTGATATATAATTGGGATGCTATCCACAATACAAATCGTATTTCACGAACTTCCAGAAAACAATAGTCATGAACTCTGTTCTTCAGATTTCAGGTCAATCCCACTTCTTTTCTGTGTTTTGTCCCACACTTGCGCGTGTTTCTGTAATGAATTTTATATCGTGTTCATAATTCTTTTTGGTCGCAAATATTTAAACATTTAAAAGGACATGAATATCCTCAGGGGTGATATGTCAATGTCAACCGTTGGATCGCATGACATTTCAAGAGACGAAGAGACACGTTCAAAAAATATCGTAAGTTCTGTTGATTTTTTTTACGCCAAATAATTTAAAATGTCAATTTGAACATTTACATAAGTGTTTCCTCGTAGACATTATGGAGCAAAGAGGCAGTTAAATGGAATGGGAAGCAGTTTCATTAAAATGTAGCGTAACAAGGGTTCTTTTACTCCATGAACGAGAGTCACTTAGTTATTTTACCTTCCCTTTCTTAAACAGCGTCTCTGCATTGCTGCTTAGACCTTTTTTATATTTATCGTAAAAATCTGCAAAAACTCTGTGAGGCGAATGGAAAAGTAGTATAATATGCCCATGTTTTCTTGAGATCCAGAATCCCTACCTCACACTTTACTGCAAGTAGTTGAACGATGAATAAAGGTAACTAAAAGTGGTTAACAACATTTAAGAGCTGTAAATCGTCGCTCTCTAGAGTAGAAAACGTATTTTCGACATTCGAACTACAGGTTTTCGTTTATAGCATTCCTAAAATATAACCCGCCCGATTATACAACTGTAAATAGCAAAAAGAGCTCAAAAAACCTGCACTTCTTTGAGCTACGTTTATGTCCAGAAGCAAGTAGTCATTTCAGCATTTGCTTAAAAGATAAGGAAAACTGTACAAAAATATGATCGAGATAGGGTGGTTGACTAAGAAACTTAAGTACAATACTTTAGAGGCATTTTTTAGTCTTTTAGAAATCTACTGAACAAACTGTACCTAATGCATTTAAATAATTCTTATAATAAACATTTTCTGTTTTTATGGCCAGTATTGTAATAAAATTGTGATTGTATAGAAATTGTTAGAATTGTATTGTGTATAGTGTTTAGAAATTAATAATACTCATAGTATTATTAGTATTTAATACTAATACTACTATTAGAATGTAATACTAATTGTATAGAACTACTTTTGCAGCAGAAAAAAAAATACTTGGCATTCAATCTTTTGTAACGAGTTTTTAGTAGTAGTTAATGCAATTAGTTTATAATGTTAAGCTTTATTGCATGAGTACATGTTTTGAAAAAGAGCGACTTTGGGAGCGAGTTTTCAAATTTTTACGAATGTAATAAAGCAACATTATAAACGAGTTGCATACTATATTTTTTTGTATAACAGCATTATACATTTATAAGAGAATCAAACTTAGTTGTACGAAACAACTTCCCTGTGATGACTCGGGTATTTCACATCGTGCGAGTAAACGTTGGTCGGCTGTTCCGTTTAGATCTACCTCCCCCGATTCTCTCGCTACGATTGGCTGGATGACGCAATCATTCGTGACTTAAAATCTAATACGTCGTCATTTGTGCCGTAAAATGGCCGATTATGAACGATTTCTTGCAACAGAAAAGGTTATTTTATAATGCTTGAATACAAAAACTACTTTTATGTCATCTGAAAATGTGTTGTATAGTAATGTAGTACAGTACGGCAAAGTTAAAATATGTTGTATGTAGGGAACTCCCGTACTGCCCACTGTGCAAACGGTGTTATCGTATCTTTCACGGTTCATAATATAGAAGGAGTGTTATGGCTTAGACGACTCGCTCATTATATGGATTAGTGTAAATTAATTATCAATTTCATCATTCTTCAGTAGAAGTGTGAGCTCTTTTGAAAAACCCGGATCTTTCTACAAGTGTCAGCACGTGTTATTCCTGTGCCAAGAAAAGAACGTCTATTGGGCGTTCATGTATCGTTCTGCAAATGTTTTAATGTTATATAGTAGGCTATTACTCTGTTCCATTGTTTATTTTGTTTGTTTTTCTGTACATGCCGCTTTGTTGAGCAATTTCCTTTTTTATAGTGCTTGGACTACCAGAAGCTCGCTTTGCCCGTGTAAGAGAACTCAGCGGGCATCAATATCAGGATGACTACAAAGTCTTTATTGACGACACTGCTATTGACTTACCTGCAACAAAATTGGAACGCCCTCTGTTTAGGTAAGTATTTATGTACAAATAATTGCGTAAAAGAATATTTGAATAGTATTAAATAAAGAAAAAATGCTCGTCAGTTATCTTGTGAACCACATTAATTCGTTCTCAAAATAAAATTTAATATCCAAAGGAAGTAAAAAATACATTGATTATGAGGTAGCTACACGTCAACTTCACTTGTAAGAAATTTATTCAATTGGAATACGAGATGCGGAAAGTGCAGTGTACAAGAAAATTCTCTCCGCAATAACACTTGTGAGAGTGAGCAACAAAAATAATGCTGGTAGCACGAGATGCAGCTTGTAACAAAAGAAAACAAATTTTGTACTCACCATAATGATAACAGATGCTGGAAGTATTGTTTCCTTCATTTGTTACCCAGTGATCTGTTAGCTGCCAATATAAATACGATTTTTAATAGAAGGCTCTGATTCGGCTTAGTGTGGAGAGAATTTCTTGGCGCACTGTATCTGTAGAAGAAGTACCTGACTATCAAACTGAACTATTTTTTCTAATTGGGTTATGCTATGTGAATCCTTTCCTTTAAAGGCACATTGTGTAGTTTCTCGAAAATTGTGTGGCGAATTAGCTGTGGATGTAGTGAGAGGAAAGAATTTTAGAGCTATTCCTTCTTTCTTAAATTCTTCACATTAAAAATTTTGCTTACCCTCCCTAACTTCTCATAAAAATATTGCTGGAATCAGTCGGATATCAACCATAAAACCAATATATCGAGAATTAATCATAGTCACGAATTTCAAGTGGAAACCACACCTGATCATTAACAACGCAAGACAAAACCCACAATCCAATCCAACCCACAATGCAACTGCGACCTATACCAAAAAAGACAACCATATCTACATTTCCTATGCACTCTCCCTGTACAAATCATTAATTCGTCCAACACTAAAATAAACATGACATGTCTGGAGTATTGTCTCTAAAACGAACCTCAGTAAAATGTACATTTTTTAAAATAATTATTTTAGACAAATAACAAAATCTTTCTGGTTCTCTAGCCACAGTTACATGTTCCTCTAAACCAGTGGTTCCCAACGGGATCGGCATCGACCTCCTGGGGGTCGATGAAATTCTCAGTGATGATCAAGGGGTCGATTGGGCTCCATAGTCGAATATAAACAAGCGATTGCTTTTATAATCAAGATCCTATTGATTACAAAAAGAAACGTTAAATGAACTTGATAATTCATTTCTGATATAATGAGATTTTATAAATTACAAATTTGCCGCTCGTCTTCCTTATCCGTTGTTTATCGCTAAGATCAGGACGTAGTTAGGATGGAGTAACTGATGCACCACACCGTCCCCCGAAACCTTGATAAGAACCATCCCGCATGGATATCAGTAAAGAACAAACGAATTGTGCCCCACGCTTATTGTCTCTGTTGCACTAGTCATATTTTTACTCTCTGCCAATCAGATTTAAAACTTGATTTCACGTTCATTGCAGGTAGTGGGCCCATTTTCACTTTCTGCAATAGGACATCCCAGAATCTAGCTACGAAGCTGGTTAGCACGTATAAAATACTGAAAAAATTTAACTTTTCACAACGATATTTTATTGAGAAGAAGAGGAACGAATTTGTAATTTCTTATCTGTGTTGGTCTATATCAGAAAACACAGTCTTTTCAGTACGTACTGTATAAATGTTTTGGCCATTTAAAAACACTCAACATTTTGTAAGAATTGTACAACATTGAAGTTCCGCTGAAAACCGAGCTTTTCAGATGTGAAAGCGTCTTTGATTATTGAAAATCTGATATTTATCAAAATTGGTGTAAGAAATTGCCTTTAATACATTTATGTTAAATACTTTGCGTTATAATTTCGTAAGATAATTATAGATAATAAAATAAAAGATGGAGCCAGTAATACTTTTAAAATGGATAGATGCACGAAAAACTTTGGGAACCCCTGCTATAAACATAAATAAAATAGCACGTCAAATAGCATTTACATCAACTGTACTCAAACCTACCTTTCATAAACTCAACTGCTTACCATCTACTTGGAAAATTCTAGATATGAAACGGGAATTAAGAACCCTGTCCATTTGTTCCCCCATATTTTCTATTAAATAAAAGTAGTGTTATTTAATTCCTCCCCAATTGTTAGATAAGTAAAGGATAATTTTAAATTGGCTTCAGTTTGCTGTAAGTCTATGAACAAATGCAAAGTTGTATTTATATCATATAATCTGAATTATAAACAATGAGAATGAATAAATAAAAGTTCCCTCTCATTTATCTTTCACTTTACTTCGTGAGAAGCGAAGTCATTGTAATTGTGTGCCGGAAATCGACGATTTCTCAACAGAAAAACTCTTATTGGCGCACCCTGGTGACAAAAATTGGATAAATCTTAGTCTCTCTCTTTATATCTCTTGCTTTCTCTCTCTCCTCTATTTTTCTCTCTCTTTCTGTGTTGCGCCTAAACCATTCAACGATTTTCTCCAAAATTACATTCCCGATCGATTTAAAATGATGACTTTGATATGGATGATGACTTTGATATGGATATGATAATTTTTAGGGGTTCTTTATTCGAAGATAAAACACTTTTTTAAATTTTCTCAAAAATGGCTCAAAATTTGTATATTATACTTAGTATTCAGATAACGCAAAGAGCTTTTTAAAATGACGCGGGACACAAAATTATTAAAGTTAGAATTTCTTCTGTCTTCCTAACGATATTGAAGATGAGATTTCTTTCTTTAATGAAATGTTCTCTTCAATGGCTAATCTTGAAACATTTTCCGAAAAAGTTAGTATATTTCGCGTAATTTTGCGAGAAGAATGCAATTTTTAAACAATTATTTTCTAAAAATGGTACTATTTTTTAAAAATTTTCTCCTCGTATGTATCAAAGTACTGTCCAAAATTGATGCTGGTCTCTTTTTTGGCAAACTGTATTTTTGAAAATTGCAAATCCTGAACATTGTAAAAATACAATATTGAAGATAGACATTTTTGCCTTCAGTGAAATCTTTTCTAAAAATGAGATCGTGAAAAAATGTCATTTACATTTTTTAAACTAGAATTTGTTACGTAATCTCTTTTGAAGGTACTGCAATGTATTAAAATAAATTCCCAAAAGTGTCCAAATTCGTTCTTTAATGTTTTTTCCAGGAATAGAGGAAAATACTTAATAAAGGTGCCGGTTTTATTTTCTTTGAATCTCTGGATTTTTTAAAATAATGCTAGAAAATTAGTGCTGTTGTAGCACTAGATTGATTCATGAGAACTTCGGAAGTGTACGATTTGGTGTGTAGTAGTCTGACTTCACCTGCCTCTGCACAAACATGGAAACATATTTCTGTGCATTTGTATTTATTATTTCTTTAGGAACTTTCTCAGTAGTGACGAAGGCATGAAAAACAATGCCTTCAGCATAGACGATGCCCTCAGTAATATTCACTTCTTCCACGTTGCATCATAGTGTCATGGGAAAAAGTATTAGCAGCAGATACATGTTATAATCGTCAGCCAATCGATATAAAATGCAGCTAAAATGGTAGTTCCCTATTGGAAAATGTTTCTGAAAACTTCAGATTCAAGAGCGCTTGAAACTCAAGAGCGCTTCAGATAGATGCGTTTTCATTTTTTGATCCCTTTCTTTTAATGTTCATCTTCGAGTTAATGTTTATATTACTGTTTTTTTATTTGATTGTAGTTTTTAGGAGCATCTACTGGTTTGGACAAAACTCAGCCCTTAACTGAGGCCCGGATGGAATGGGATGGAAAAAGTTGGAAAAGGGTGGAAAGGGCGGACAGTGGAGCAAAGGGGAGGGAAAGGACGGGATGGGATAGGATTGGATGGGATAAAGAAGGTGGGGGAAGAGATGAAAAGGGATGGAAAGGGACGGGAAGTGATGAGAAGGGCAGGGATAGAAGGGATGAGTGGAATGGGAAGAGATATGGAGGGATGGAAAGGTAAATTTGTAGTCTTCACTTATTCAATATAAACATGTACTAAATAACGCATAATGAGATGTAAAATAAAAATAACTTTCGATCAGGAGAGAAAGTTTATCATTCATATCATATGTGTCGCTATCTCAAATATCTGAAATGGGAAATTCAAAACCCACTATTCAGGAAATCATCGACACGGATGGTGAGAGAAAATCATTGATAACATTTTAGAAAAGTTGGTGTTCTTTTAAATTAAACAACCGTCCAAGGTGGCTCAGGACATCAACTGACGCTACTGACGCCTGTGACCAGGATGTTCTGGGATTCGAATCGTGACGGGATTTCGATTCTAGCTTATCAGGTCGAATTCAGACGCTGTTTGGAGGAGAATTCTAGCGGCCGGCTGCTCCAAACAGTAGTTTTCCGATCAACTCCCAGCGAATGCCTGAGCAGTGCCCTAACAAAAGGGCCACGGACCGCGCCCTATCTTTTTTCCCCTTCCTTGTCCTATCCTCACCTCTTACATAAACATACACCCACACGCACTACACTAAAAACCACTCATATCTAGAGACCAGGCAAATCCTTAAAAGCTTGTCTCGGTTGGGGAGGTGCCACGCTGGTGGAAGATACCTAGTTGGGGGAAATTTCCGCAAGCCGACATAGATGGGCGCCAGTTCTCGCCATCCATCGGAGAATGATCACTGCCACCTCCCGCGAGAAACACATGCACTACTTACATGATTTTAACAGTTGACGTGCCCGGAATCCCTTCTTATTCTTCTTCTTCACTTCACGGGTTAGGGAGATTACCTGTTCCGGCTTCATAACACCATCTCTGTCGTGGACGGATGTATCCTTTCTTCCCCTTGGTCTGTACAGAAAGGCATGTCGGGGGATCCTTTCGTGAGATACTCTTCTTAAGTGCTGTCCCCACTGTTATCTGTATTCTGTTTTTTTTTTTTTTCACTGATAGGAAACATATTAAGTTCCACTCTTATATCTTAATTTTTTATTTTATTCATTAGGGTGAAGGGTTTTACTCTCATCATTTCAGAATCTTGTATCTTCATTTTATCTTGTTTTCTTATTTTCCATGATTCACATTCGTAAAGCAGTTGTGGTACTGCCATGATTTTATAAAATGTAAACAGTGTCTCTTTTCTTGTCTTATTGCGAAGCTATTTGTTTATTGTTACTCAAGTATGTTGGAAACGTTATTTTGTTTTCATATCATCTCTGTAGTCGTGTGTAATATCACGGCGCAAATAATTAAAATGTTTTACTTGCCCTTTCTTTGTTTTCAATTATTATTTTATTTCTGGTAGAATACTTTATACTTTCTTCTCTTAAGAGATGGACTTCAGTAAATATCTCTGCTCATAGATTTCCCGTTTTTATGCTGTTTTGTCGAAATTTTCTTCCATCGAGCTATAATTAAGATATTTGAGATTACTAAGTAGTGATCGGATGATATATCACTGCCTCTGTGACATGAATATTTCTAATTTGAGAAGATAATTTTCTGTTCGCTATAACATAATCTATTAGCGATCTTGTGGTGCCATTGCTCCAGGTAAATTTATTTATATTATTTTTCCTGAAGAAGGTATTCATTATCTTGAAGTCGTTAATAGTAGAAAATTCCCTAAGTTCGTGCCCATTTCTATTGATAGCTTCTTCTCCAAAGCACCCAACATTTGGAATTATCTGTTTTCCTACTCGGGCGTTTAGATCTCCCTCAATTATTTTGTGATAATTTTTGTTACATTTATCTAAACTCCTTTCAAGAGTTTCATAAAAAACATCAGTGTTCTCTGTTCTCCCTTCTGGTGTGTGCACAGCTAGATTAGTTAGGTGTCCTCTTGGAATTTGGAATTAGTATACTGCCACTGTAATACGTACAGTGTAAGAGCTTCTTTTTTCATTTCGAATCCATTAACAAAGCAACCCTACTGCACGCTCTTTTATTGGTGTATACTTCACTGTGTATTAATGTGTAGTCATAGAAATCTTCATTTTGGTTTCAGAAATAACCGCAATAATTACATTCCTTGCTTTTAGCTCTCTCTCCAAATTGCTTCTTTATTATTTAAACCTCCCACATTCCATATACTACAGAAAATTAATGTATACCAATCGCTTTTTTCTTATTCTTGCTAGAGTTGTTATAGTGGCTGTCTTGTTTCACTTGAAGCTTTCGAGTAAGAATTTTTCCCGATAAGGTTACCAGCCTTTCGCGGGATTGTGATCTGACAGGGCTGATGTCTTGTGGCTTTATCACAAACCACCATACGTACTAACTCCACGTGGGGGGGGCTGCTCCTTCTGCCCTTTTCTGGCCATTGGGGGCTTTGTCCTTCTTACCCCGGACACGGGTTACAGCTGTTTGTGCGGAGGTCGTCTTTGCCGGGACTGCCGTGGAGGTCCTCATTTGTAGTATTTCTTCCTCTCTCCTTCGACCTGTCCGGCAAGGGAGGTCCTACTAGAAGCTACGCTTCCGCCGGAATAGCTCTCAGAGTCATGGCGGTTCTCAAGCTCCACACGAAAGTCAAGGTCATGTACTCCCTCGGCGGGATTCCCTAATCAATCAATCTGAATTAAACTAATGTGAGACAAGTCCGCAGAAGAGTAAAGCAGTACTAACACAATATTGTTGTTGACGTTCGTGCTGACCCGATCGAAGCCGTGGATTTTTAAGGGCGAAAAAATCCTTCGTACGCCTTCCTTCGGAGGGGAAGTAAAGCCGGCTGTTCCATGTTAGTAGATTTACTTGCATGTTAAAGATCCTCAAGCCTAAATGACGCCTCTGAGCTAAATTCAAATCGCCTATTTCTCGCCCAAGAAATACCTTCTTTCTCTGCTAGTTGGTGAAAGGAGCGTAGCGAAATTTGCGTGGTCAGACGGAAGAGCGGGCCTGATGGCCCGAGTCTCGCCACGTAAAATAAGGCAAATTCAATTCAATTCAATTCAACAACCGATCAGAGCAACTAGCCGCTAGATTGCTTCTGCAGACAGCGGCCGAATCCGGCCTAGCTCGCGAGTATCCTGCCACTGACGGGACGCGAACCCTAAGACCTCCTGGACCGAGGCACTGCAGTGACATCAGTTAATGCCCAGCGTGTGAGACGACGTAATTTACTATATATACAAGTGAATTATATTTATCCCCTTTTTGTTACCAGGGCCTGAAAATAAGAATTTTTTTCTGTTAGTCTTCCTATCATACTATTTAAATCAATATTGCGGGAAAATTACTATTACTTTAAAAGAAAGAACATTACATTAATTACAGTACTAATTGTGGAGAAAAAATTCTTTTGAAGAAATAATCTCCACCTTGAATATTGTAATTGTAGGAAGATCCCGAAAAAGTTTTAAACTTTGACAATTTTCGAAACTTTAAGAGTTAAACGTGAAAAGCGGTTCCAAGCCATCTGTTGGAGTGTATTTTTCACTCTATCCTTACAAGGATTTTTTTAAAAAAATTGAACCATTTTTGAGAAGTTTTTGAAAATGTAGTAGAGGCTTCATGTAAAGTACGCTCAAAATTTAAAGCACGTTTTTCAAAATCGCGTAGTTTTGAGTCGGGAGATCGACTGAGGAATATTTTAGAATAATTTACGCGCTAGTGCTATTCAAACATAGTCAGACAAACGTACGGACGTTTTTAAACGTTTTTTTGGCATCAGTGAAACATAACACGTGTATTATTACTACACATTACTCCGTATAAAAGAATAAAAGTACGTATAAACGAATGTAAAAATTCGGAATGCCCTTTAGAAGGCAGATCTGTTGCAAAAAAGGCAGACCCTACGTAAGACATATAGGGCTAATTTACTGTCGGATTATAACTATAATGTATACATAATCCTACTAGGAGACGGACGTGAGCTCTTTTTTTACCGCAGAGGAAAATACTCAAGTATAAATAATATAGATTAAAAATGTCAATTATAATTAATGACTATCAAAGCAAATTGTGTGTTTGCTGGCGTATAAAACACCCATCTCTGTTGTCCCTCCCCCCTCTCTCTGTCTCTGACTCTTTCTCTCTTTCTTTCTTTTTCTCTATCTCCTGCTTTCTCTTTATTTCTCTCTCTTTCTCTCACCAGTATATGAAACATCTGAAATGATAATATGTCTATAGCTCGTGCTACGATAATGATAACTGCATTTTATATCTTTAGAGTGAAAATACTTACACAAAACTGAGTCATTTAAAATGTATTATATCTGATAACTAGTAGAGAAATTATTTTATTTTATTTCTAGAAATAATCTTGCTGTCTTGTTTCTTATCGTACCCCCGTTCACGAATTTAATCTCATCATCGCAAGATCGGTGAAAGAAAGCGATGTACAAATGGCGGGAACGATTACATTCTATTTCATTATTCAAATGTAAGTGGCGCGTTGTTGTATTTTTATTTTTTCTAACAAACCGTCAAGAAAACCGTATTTGGCATTAAATGCTTTGGACAAATTCAAGGCCTTCGCCAAGGCCGAAAACTGGATCTTCGTCATGAACCTCCGCTGGCGTCGGTAGCCAAATCGCTTAACCGCATCCCCCGCTGCTCCCGAAAGGGAGTTCAGTTGAATTCAAGGACAGTCTGCAACGATAACTGATTTGTACTTGCAACTTAGTTCTCACGCTTCAACACACTATACTGCGATTTTCGCGACTCTGCCCCTGGCAGGTATCGGCAGTTTCATCCAATCGGGAGCTTGAACGTCACCATTGTGACGTCACTATGGTGACGTTTGAGCTCCCAATTGGATGAAACCGTCAAGGGAGGAACCTCTCCGCTACGTTTCGTGCAGGCGCAGTCAAGAGTGCGTTTCTAAGTGTTGGAGCTATAGTTACTTAACTCGAGACATCTCGGTTTCCTGGATGGGTAAAAGACTGAGAAGTCAGATGATCTAGCGGTGCCGAGCCTCTTACCGAAGGGATAAAGAGACTACGACTGACGATGACCGACCAACTTAACGGAGGATTAATCAACGTTCATCAGTAAAATGGTTAAGAGAACGAAAGACAGAATTTACAAGAAATTTGTCCGTGGAACGAAACAAAATCTCGGCCTTAAAAGTTTAACGTTATACATACGATGCCGTCGCGGGTACATGATATCGTTCACCTTGTATCGGAAGTGAATCGATTTCTTCACGTGGGGTACGAAAAGGAATAAGAGACGAATTTTGTTATAAGCCTAATGTGTAATTTTTTTTTAGTTGGGATTTTGTGCCATCTACTGCAGAACCTGATGCTGCTTCTACTGCAACACTTGAATTGGGAGAACAACATGAAGACAAGGAACAATTTGACAAAAGTATGTCAAAAAGCAACAATATAAAATACAAATTTGAAATATTTTGCATCAATAGAACGTTTGTGGGAATATGTTCAGAGAAGTAATATACAAAGTGAATCGTTTCAGGTGGTAAAAACATATACCAGCGAGTTCCTCAAAATATTATCAATCAATGATTCTTTTACCGTTTTGACCTCGGAACAATAGCCGCAGCACAGCCGCATCAGAAGCAACTGATTACACTCTTAACACCCCCATTGATTCGTTTGGTAACTGGAAAAAGTAGATTTTTTTAATCTTTGGCAATACCAAGAAACAGCTTGATTTCTGGCGGAACGCGACGAAACAGCGTTCCGATACCTCCGAAATAATTAAGAAATCAATTGTACTATAAATATGTAACTATTTCTAATAAACTAATAATTAATTTGGAGCGTGTTTCGAGACCTTAAATTTATAAATCAAGCATTGCTTAGAAATATTCTTGGTTCCTCAATTCACATGCACAACGTTTTGGACGTGATAGAAGTAATCGTAAAGAAACTGCGGTGCAGAAACTAAGCGTTTCTCACTAAAATGACGTTAGAAACATTTGTTGCATTTGAGCTGCATACAGCAGTGTATTTTTTCCACCAGAAATGACGCATTCTATAGTTGTACTGAAAAATCTTTTGCATCATGATCTGACAATATCCTAAATTTTCAATATAGTTACTGGAATGTGTTTTGAAATGTCTGGAATGTGGTTTAATTTGAATGTGTGCTAATTTGAGATGTACAAGATTCAGGTATAAAAGATCTTGCCTAAGGTAGCTTATATGTTTTCAAACTTGACTTGTATGTAATTATATAATTCTTTGAAAACAACGCATTTTGTACCCACATCAATGATATTGAAATAAGTAATGTATGTACTAATTTAATATTATATGTAATACATGTTTATTACAGATAGCCGAAGTAATGGACGGGGCAGATGGAGAAAAAATAGAAACAAAAATGATCTGTACACATCCGACAAGAATAAATCAGACAAACAACTTCAAGAACATGCCCAGGAATTTAATGTTTCGAATGTTAACAACAGAGTTAGAGACTCATCTCGAGGTCCAAAGGAACGTAAACGAAAAAATAAGAATCGTAAAAATAAACAGAGTCGAAGAAGATCCAAGCAAGATAAGAATGCATCTGGCAAGAATAAAAAACGTAAGTCAGAAAGGAAGATGAGACGTGGACGCAAACAAAAGGAACATAATCTTCGTAAGAATGATTTACCTGAGATTATACATTCTGAAAAACACCAAATTCATACTACTGAAGAAATGCCTGTTGAATCAAGGACTGGAATGACCGTCAATCTTGTGAAAAAGGCTGATGATCTTTTCTCACAAGTTCATCAGAGTGTACCAATGTTGTCTATATCTCAGAATGCAAATGAAACTAATTCTATTTTTGAAGTGGATGAAAATTTGCAAGAAACAGCTGATGCTAAGAATTCAGATGTTTCTGGGGACAATGTACTTCTCCCAATTTTGCACACTGATGTAATCAGTAGAGAAAGTAACAAAATTAATATCCAGAAAAATGTGAGTGGCACGTCTTCTCAACAAAAAATGAACACCTCTGTGGATGTAAGAGAAACTGAATCTGCTACAGTGGAACTTGATATTAACCGGTCATCTGACTCTAACATTAAATTTTTTGATGAACATAACTCTACCAGACAACAAGATCCTCTTGATTCAAATCCAAGATCAGAACTTGACACAGCAAATGGATCATTTCAGGATCACGAAACAAGGGAGTATGATGCTCTGAATGAGATTGTTGGTGACATATCATGTCTTGCTGGAACATTCCTACCTGCTCCTCCTTCATCTCATGCTGCAATAAGATATGTAAGGTACAAATGCTATTTTATTCTTCTCAAAATTCTTTAATTTTATTGCATGCACATTTTTTCTGTGGTTTTTAAATGGTATTGCATAAGAAATACATAAGCAAAGAGAATAAATTTGAAAACGGAGCACACGCGCCAAAACTTAAAATATCCGTTTTAAATTCAGGGGTCTGCGACATCTCTAGATCGATCAGGGAATATCAATTTTTGTGAAAATACTGTTAACAGTTTAGTCTCTAGTGCTGTTTGCAGACAGAATGAAGTTTAAAAAAATCACTTTTACAGTACTATTAGAAACCCACAAAAAAGCGACATTGATTTTATGCAGTATTGCATAACTTCATGAGTACTGTGTATTATATACTCCATACATAGTACATATGTGTACAAGAAAGTTGTAAACATTTCACATGCTTAATATGTAGACCTTCCCAACACAACAGAAATTATAATAATTCATAAAATAGGGAAGCCAAAAATACAACCGGAAATTAATTGTCAAATTTTAAAAATATTTTAAAATACTTTTTAATGATTTATTTATTGATTGATTTTTCATTCTGCGTTCATACTGAATTATATATTTTGTAGCACTGTGCGTTATTGCAGCATGTACATTAAGTATTAGTATACATTTTGTACAAATAAAACACATGAAACATTTGCATCTTTCCCCTACTTTTTGTGTTTTTGACTTACTGAGATCAACAATATACTAATAAATATACTAATGCAAATGCCACTAATACTATTTATTTTAATAAGCAATGCTTTTTAAGAATAAATTCTTTATTTATAATGGTATAGGCACAAAGCCAAAAAATTAATTTGAACTTTCTTGTGGTATTTGTAAATAAAAATCCATTTTTTTAGGGCCAGATTGAATCAGTTTTTGATAATTTTGGTTGTATTTTAGAACTCAGACTGCAACTACAGCAAACTTGGTAGCAGAGTATGAATGTGAACCGAAGCATCATTTGGAAAATCATAAAATTTTTCAAGTTATATGTAGTGAACGCAAATGGATGGGAACTGTTCCTTCTTGCGTACCTGATGTACCAGTAGTTGAGAACAGATCAGCATGTCATGAAGGAAAAGGAGGCTGTGATCATCTTTGTGAAATTATTGGAAACAGTACTGTTTGCTCATGCTATAAAGGATTTCGTCTAGAAAATGGTATTTGCAGAGGTAAATAAAAAATTTATTGGAATATTTTTAATGTATTTTTATTCTTTGATAATTGTGACACACTCTTTTCTTCTTAATTAATTCTTTTGTTTCAACTTTGGAATTATTTATTCATGATCCTATACATAATACACCAAGGATAGATATCGTTTTTTTAACAATTTGTAAAACAGCATCCACACAAAATCCTGTAAATGTGCAACTGCTAGATAGGGAATTAGCTTTCCATCCTTGGATCAAACAGATTCTAAGACCAAAAAATAATGGAAGTTAGGTTTCACTTTTATATTTTTGCCCCTCTTTCTCACACAAATATTACACATTTGTTTCATTATGTTTTTTAAATTAAGGTACTTGTCTACCGGAGCTTTAAAATATTTTTTTTGTGGCATATATCTGAAGTTAAACATGTTTACTTCTAACAAAGTCAAAAATAAATTTGTTCAAAATTTATTTTAATTATTTCATTCAATATGCTCTTTCTCCTTCCAAAAACAAGAGTATGATTTGTAACATCACAAATCATCAATCGTTAAACATTTTGTAATGATTCCTTTTTAAGATTGTAAATTGGATTATACTTTAGTACCTGAACATAAATTTGAAGATTGGTAAGGGACTTGTCCTACTTTGCAAGGTTTTGAATTAGAACTTAGAAATCTCTGTTAACAATGGTGATTAACAAAGCTATTTATTTTTGCTAATATGTATTTTCTATAAAAATATTAGGTTTAGACACAGGAATTGACGTTTTGCTTTTAAATGAAAATGAACTATAAAGATTCTTAAAATTAGAAAGGTTATGATGTTTCAAGTTGGGCAAAGAGAAAAAGTAACTTCAGGGAAAAGCCATTAGCTCAACAATGCCTGTGGATGATACTTTACACCTTTGACTTTGGTTTCCTTGTCTTTTTGAGTTTTCTCTGCCCTTTCAAGTATCTCCTCTTACTTTTACTTTCAGGTCTGTTTTTTTACTATTTGAAGTTTTCTAGTGTCAAACTCAGTCATTCCTCGCAACCTGTTTGTGCCAGGTTTGATGCACATTCTTTCAAATACTTGGGACGTGACATATGCATATGCATTTGGAAAAATATATATAAATAAAAAAACAAAGAAACTTAGAAATTAACAGTTATAAGAAATGAAAAGTACACATTTCAGTACATGAAAAATAAATATTCCAATTTTTACGAACAATGTCATTGTGAGGTAGACAAGTACCTTCAAGTAAATTAAAATAAATAGTTAATTTGATTTCAAATTTTGAACATACTTCTAGATTTTGTTTGTGGTCCATGTTTAATATGATTGTAACAATTTTTTGTATCATAAGATGTAAACGAATGTGAAATGGAAAATGGAGGATGTGACAGTGGTTGCAGAAACACTCCTGGTTCTCATCACTGCACATGCCCACCTGGTTTACGTCTTGCAGATAATCGTATGACATGTATTGGTGAGTTTTTACCATATTTGTGAAATTTCAGTTGTTTCATGTATTTAATTCTGTCTATAATAGGGCCATATATTTGTTGTTTACTTAGTGTATTTCCAAGCACTTAATGACATGTACTGCGTATGAATGATGAGCTTACATCAATATCCAATAATTAGATTGAGTTCAAAAACTAGACATTCAGTTTAAGAAGAGAGACTTAATTTTGCAGTTAAAAGCAATAATACTAAATAATTTCATTAACCATCCACCAAATGTAATTCAACACATTTAATTTACGAATTACTCTTGGTATAATCAACTAATTATAATTGACAAGTAATTTTTCATCTTTTCTAGCAAAATTACATTTATTTTTTAAATAATATTTTTGGGACAGAGTTAAACACCTTGCAATTTGTTTACCAATGGAAATAAGATTTCTATTACTTGGGAGCAAACATTTCTATTTTTCAAATGCTGCGAACTTTGCTTTGTGGGTACTTTTATTCATCATTCAATTATGTATAGTAAAAGGGTGGAGTATGAATTCTGGGACTCAAGAAAAAATGCACAGATTATACTTTTCCCTCATACATCACATACAGTTTTTACTAGGGCTGGAAAAACTTTAGTAAACAAATCAAAAAATACTTAAGTCTTCTAAAAGTTTAAATCTTCTAAAAGTTTTTAAATTCATCATCAAACTATAGTAATTTTAATAAAAAAATAAAGATACGATATATTTTAGAAGTCTGGTGCAATACCTCCCTGACCCATAATTTTTTTAAAATTTGATTTACCTATTCTTGAGTTACCAAGTTTAGTGCTCTTGAAACACTACCTTTGTGAACACATTACTGAATAAGCTTGTGGCACCATCTATTGGCATGAATTTAAAAAAATAATTCTTTGTTGCAAGAAATTTTACAATACTTTTTGTGCAATACCGCCCTAATCAAAAAGCACTTATTGTTGAAAACAACAGAATTCATTGAAAAACTTAAAGCAGTGTTAGGAAGTTTTTGAAATATTAAATTCTACTTAATTGTTGTCCTGTTACGAAAAAATATGGAGTATAATGGTTGTTACTTACGCAATTTTCCACTTTTTAACTGTCGCTAGGAAGTAAGCTTCCCCCCTTAAAATGGAATTTTATCAATATATACAAAGTAAAAAGGCTAATACTACTAAAACTAGTAAGATTAACTATTGTTTTCATTAATTTTAACAATATTAATTTTGTTCTTTAAATGAGTATTATTAAAATTCCATTTTTATTGTTACTCATCATCTTTAAGATGTACTTACAGTGGCTTTAACAAACATTTTCATACAAATCTAGAATTGTGGACACTGTTCAAGCTTTATATGCATTTTTCTCTAAATTAGCTTTCTGTGTGTTAGAGTGGTCTTGCTGCTAAATTAGTTTTTATCTTCAGAGAATTAAATGCTTGATAAAAACCAATGGATCATCTAAGTCTATTAGTATATAACACTATCAACACACTAATCATATTTTGTTTTTCATTTCATAAGTTTGTTCATTTTATTGTGTACTATGATGCACTTTAGTTCAGTTATGTGAAAAAATGTATGAGAAATGTAATACAGTAAAATATGTTGAAACCAGAATTGATTGGGACTGAAAATTATTCTGGTTTAAAGACATTTTTGTTTTATACAGAGTTGTCCACTTTGTGACACTTATTATATTGGTATTTCTGTTCTGAAACTAGTAAATTACATGGCTATTGTAATTACAAAAATATATAAACATATAACATATTTATGGAAGAAATCATCAATAAATGAATATTTAACATATTTCTGACAATTAAAAGGAAAAGCTTCACAAATTGTGCACTAAAATAATATTACTTTTTCCAACATTCATTTACAGTTTTTTGGTTTTCTCACTTACTAACACTTTTTCAATTACGTGTTCTGAAGTAGAAAAATTTTAATATTTAGGAGTTACAATTGTCAACGCAGGGCCAGTAGATGTGTGAATACAAGCAATGTCCGTGCATTTACACACGCTCAGAGAGCCGAGAGAGAGGGAATTCCCCTACGACTTAGGCCTTGAGAGACTAGCGAACCCAAGGTCAAATTCTATGCTGAAAACAAGCTTCTCACGTTTACTGTGTGGCTGCCACAACTGAAAGTCAGACAGAGAAATTAAAACAGACTTGCAGATGCATTCGTTCCATGAGTATCTCTGTCTCTCTGCTTAATTACATTAAATTCACACAAATTCTGTTTTATGAAGATTCTTTCCCCATGCAGGACATGGAAAATCATTCCGTTTCCATTTTGGACAGATTCTGTTTTATTCTGTGTAATATGCCAATAAACTACACAAACCGTAGAAATTTTCCAGTTAAGGCAGGCCCTGATATTTGCCCTACATATTATACATGCCTACATTTAAATGAAGAACATATATTTAGTTACACCTAGTAAACATGCACATATATACATATACATAAAATTAACCAGTTACACAATTTGTTTTTTAAATATAAACACAATGTGGATTTTTAAAGTTAGCGCTTTAAGCATTTAGATTTGCTCCCCACCTACTGTCGCATTTCACTTCACTACATTACACTACACTACACTACACTACACTACACTACACTTTCACTACATCTTTCTTTGGTTATGCCATATAACTAATTAAAGTAGCTTTCCACTGCACTGCACTGCACTGCACTACACTACACTACACTACACTACACTACACTTTATAATAATCTACAAATTGTGTATTCTGAGGTGTGCGGTAAAATACATCCCCCACAAGTACTTATTAAGTCGTCTAAGTGTAAGTATAGTTCAGTACTTGTCTAGATTATATTCACATTAAAGTGAAACAAAAAATCTCAAGTTTGAGTGAACTTAATAGTCCTTTTGTATTTTTTATGACATCTGAAAATTCATGAAATTCTGACATAGTACTTACAATTCTGGTAATACTTGTCTACCCTATCAGGAAAGGTCAATTGATTTTGACATATAATGGATTCATTTACCTTAACCTCTGGAAGTTCTTGTATTGTCTTATCTACAATTTCTGATTTCTGAATATCATCTCCTCTTTCTTCTTTGACCTAAAAAACTAACCTTGTCTTTATTGTGTATTTTCACTCTATTATCCTTTGGAAATAAATCCTGTCATGTTGATGATCAGGAACGAACTGTAGAAATACATGATGATAAATCTTGAAGAAATTTATATTAATATTTTTGTTGAGTGTGTGTGAGTGTGTTGAGTGGACTATATCTAGAGAGTAATTCTATAAGTCTGATATTTCTTTTACTTTTATTTTCTCCTCTTCTGCATCTTCTTTCTTTCTTCCTCCAACTGGCTTTGGCCGGATCTACTTCTAATATAATAATTTTTAACATTTATACTTCATATCAATGTATCAGCACATGATGTGAAAATATGTTTATTCTTCAAGAATTGTAATGCAATGGCAAATGTGAAATACTGACTAACAAACATTTTTTAATATTGACCTTCATGTGAGTGGATGAATAATATGGTTCTCAGAATGTTTGAAATTTTAAAATTGTAATGAGGAAAGATCTTTGGAATCTTGTATATTTGTTACAGATATAAACGAGTGCTTACTGCGTAATGGCCATGGTCCTTGCCAAGACTCGTGTCATAATAAATGGGGTGGTTATGAGTGTTCTTGTAAAGGGATAACAGGTACCCGACTTGCTGCTGATAACCACACCTGTCAGGACATAGATGAATGTGCTGACGGAACTGCAGGATGCTCACACACTTGCCTCAACACTTTTGGGAGTGCATTTTGTCTGTGCCCTTCAGGCTTCATGCTTGGCGATGACTGGAAAACATGTCAAGGTAATTTTTCCATCAAAGTTAAACTCCATGAATATTATGCCATGCTTTAAATGTGTATTTTTAGAATCCCTATCAGATCTAGTTTTGTTGGAATTATATTTGAATTACTAAATTTTTCAGTTATTTAGATTAATGTTGATTGAAATTAATAGATTTATCTTCAGTTTTTTTAATGTGAGATTTATTATTTATTGGCCTTAAGAATCAACAGTTTTGATTAGATACATAGTTTATAATACTTTCTAAACATTGCTGATGTTATATACACTGTTTTATTTCAATGCTGAGTTAATTTTCTTATTTGTCCTGCAATATTGTGTTCTTAAAATTAGCACATTTATCTGAAACTAGAAATACTTCATACAATTTTAAACATAGCAAGTAAAAGTTAATATATTAAACATTGTGTGATTAATAATTTATGAAAAATGTAATAATGTTTTACACAAATTATTTTTCTAGAAATTTACTATGTGAATTGTAAGCAACATTACTGATATTCTATTAAGTCAATGATCTCAGATAGTTTTCGTGTGAAGTTGTCGATTTTTTGTTGACTAACAGTACTCGTAATTGACTGTTGGTAATAACTTCAATGCAATGCACCATTCACACACCAAAATAGATAACGAAGACTGTGGCTAAGATATCTTTTTTTTTTTTTTTTTTTTTCATTTCAAAGTTTTGTAAAGAAAAAAACAACAACAAATGATTGATTAATTAATTAATATTTGTATTACATTGTAGCCATATATTAAATGAAGCTGTGACTGCATTAAATATTATATGAATTCATGTGCATTTTACCCCTTAATTTAAACAGAATGATATAGAAGTACAAGAGTTCAATAACGGGGATCAAATTTCTGAGACACTTTGGTCAGTGAACACTACTTGTTAGTTCGCGAACATTCAACTTCTGCCTGAATTTTTAAATAATCCATTTATGGCAGACTGAAGAATTATTTGTTTTTTCTCTCTTTTTTGAATATAACTTACTTGATGTAGAATTTGCAAATAACTAGTAATTCCATTCAATATTCACAATAAAATATATTCAGTACAACATAAAAATTCATTACTTTGAAAAATGTATTTTTTACCATAATTTATTATTTAAAAGAATATTATGAGTAGAGGTATATTTCAATTAATTTGTTTTCTCTACTTTACTGAGATGGCAATAAAAGTTTGTATGCTTCATAATCTCTAAGAATTTCATTGTTTACTATAGGACTATTAATACAGGTCACTTATATTTCTATGAAGCAACTTCCCAATTGAGACACTTTTTTAAGGAGGTTATTGTTTGAGCTGCCCCACACTTGGTATTCCACTGCGCCTTTGGTAAATGAGGAGAAGATTTCTGTGAATGGAATGGAAAGACTAGTTATGTACCTATGTGTTTAGGGATTTATGTAGAGATTATTGTTCTGTAGGTGATTTCAAACCTCAAGGGCCCTAGAATTTTAGATGTTTCAGTCAGAGGAGTTCTTGTTAATTTTACTTTCTCACTGTACTACGTACTCACAGAGTAAAGAGAAAGTATACTGTTGCAGAAATCTGCGATTTTTTGACAGGAAAACTCGTATTGCAGAGCCCTGGTATCAAAAAAGTGGATAAATCTTGTTCTTATAAGTTGTAAATTACTTTCTCCATCCTGCTGCAAAAAATCGATTAATGGCAAAATGACTGTTTGTCCATCTGTATGCAATGCTAGTGCCTAAACTAGTCAGATGATTTTCTCTAAAATTGAAATTTCCCAATCAATCTGAACAAACTCAAGGCCCTGCAGATTGGAAACATATTTTGATTTTTGTGAGTACTTTTCATAAAGCTTCAACATTTTCAAAATTTTCTCAAAATTCACTCTCTCACTTTCTAAATTTTTTGATGAAATTTTTTCTTGAATAAAGCAAGGAATGATTAAAAAAATGCCATAGAATTTTAGATGTTTGAGTCAGTTTTTCTTGAATAAAGCAGTTATAAAAATGTTACAGGTCTCAATTTCCAGAAATGTTTTTGTATTTTCAAAAATTACAAACATAAAGTTAGCATTGCAAAACTCCAACTTTTTCCATAATGAAATGTATATCTTTATGTAATCTTACAATTACTATATCTTATTATATCTGATCTTTAAATAATGTAATTGATAATCTTGGTATTTTAGAAAATTGCAATTGCAAATACAAATGTTCAACCTTTTTAAAAAAGTTCAGGAAGGTTGAGTTCAGCTCTGAGGTTGATGTAGGGGGAATGACATGAAACTCTAAGAACCTGAGGTAAAATCCCAAGATGGAGAAAAGAATTTGTTTGTTGGAAACACTTTTGCAGGTTCATGTAGCCATTACAAATAATGTGAGAAAGTGTGTTGTATTACTGCTACTTTCTTACTTATATCAAATTAAAAAAAAACTAGTGTTTTTTTGTTGGCTCAGTAGTGGCCATAAAGAATTCAAATGACCAGCACAGGTGTAATGAATTTGAAAGGCTCACAATGTAGAGCATTATGTGTTTTGTTTCATGTCCCTAATAATAGAGTAATGAACAAGTAAACCACAAAATATGTTTTCCCTTTACAAACAATTTTGTGAAGCTTCTTATTAGTGTGAAACTAACACACTTGTTTTCTTACCTCATTAATTCAATTTTGATTTCTGGTGGGGCCTCTCAATTTCTTGAATTGCTTGCCAACATGACTGCATCTGGCAAGTGATCTGATTTTAACATTAGTAAAATTTTGATAGCCTACTGAAAACTAGTAAAATTCTTACTTATTTCAGATCATACAGCAAATCCACCAGCTAGATAACTTTGACAGCTTAAGAGAGAAAATATTGCTAAGCAATACTCTTGCTCTACTCAGTAAAATTAGAATTCATGAACTTTTGTCACTCTTCTCCTCTAACTGATTTCTGATCAATATATGCTTCAAAAATAATAATTTCTCATTATATTGTACCTAATACACGCTTGTTCATTTAGGAAGTTCTCACATTCTTTTCTGTTCATATCTCTTGAATGAACATTGCTTCCAAAGAAAAATTATTTTCATCTTTCACTAATATCTTGTCTCGTGTTTCCTATGTTCACGTAGTTGTAGGGGCAATCATAGTCATTGCGTAGGAAATTTTAATAATTTTTAATATTTCATATCTTTCAACAAAGAAAGATTTTGGACTTAAACTTTTGTGCCTGTTTTTACAGTTTTTCCGTTAATAGAAAATTATAATTTGAATGAAAAAAATTAAATATAAACAATTTTAGTTTGAACTGACCTTCTCCAAAATTGTTGGTTTATTTAAAAATTCCCTGATCACACCACCTGTAATATTATTTTGTTTGATTTTTAATTGGGATCTAAATAGCGATATTAGAACAAAATAGCATTATTTTTAGTACATAACATATTAGGATTGTATAACCAGAATATTCAGCACTATTTTATCCTACATGATTGAATGGATATCAAAAAGTAATGATATTTTTCAGTTATAAACTAATGCATCAGCACATACTTCAGGACAGATTTTGTTGATTTCAAAAATTTGTATCTTCAGTATTGGAATGTTAACTTTTTGCAATTTTCAAAAATACAATGTGTTTGCCTGAAATGGGACTAGCTCCGCTTTTTCTTTTACCATCTTTTGACTCATATGAAGAGATAAGATGAGGATTAAAGAAAAAAAATTGGCAGTTTTTGAGGAAATGAATGTTTAAAAAATCTTAAAAAAGCCTATATTTCTAGCAAAATTACACGAAAACTTCTCATATTTTTGAATTGTTCAAGACCTTCCTTTAGGGTTTGTCTCTGAACAACACATTTTATTTAGAAAACATCTGTCTTCAATATTGTAGGGGTACACCCAAAAAATTTTGAATGTTGCAATTTTCAAAAAATTAGGGATTTTAATAAATATTAGACCAGGGTCATTCTTTTAAACATCCTTTCTACTACCACAAGACAAAACTACTATCTTTTCTACTACCAGAGGACAAAATCTGATAAAAAAATTTGGAGCCGTTTTTGAGAAAATGTTTAAAATGTTGGGGTTTAATGTAAAGTCCCCTCCCCAAATCAAAATATCCATTTCAAACTCAGAAGGCCTCGAGATCCTTCAAATCAGTTGAGGAATATCAATTTGGAGAATATTAGGTAAACACTTTTGGTTCTGTGTTGACCATGGATGGATGGACAATTATACAGATAGACTTGCAGACAGATGTGCAGGCAGATATGGACAGACAGACAGGTGTATGGGCAGACTGCCAGACATACAGACAGACGTACAGACGTACAGATGTACAGACGTACTGATGTACTGACATACAGACGTACAGATGGACAGACAAGACATGCCGTCGACCAGTTTTTCAATATCAAGGTCCCACCGAACAAAGATTCTGACTACACATGTGTGTGGAAGTAATTTACTATAAATAGGAACATGGTTTATCTTAGTTTTTTCGGTACCAGGGCTGGGCAATATGAGTTTTTTTGTCAAAAATTCTCTGTTTTTCTGTGGGAGATTACAATACTAATCTGAAGTATGATGCTTTCCCAACTTGTATTGTTTCATTCAGTTGTAAAATATATACTCATAATGCTTCAAATATTTTAGTTTAATGGTGACAAAGGTTTTAGAATCCTTAATTTTAGAATTGTATTTGAAGTGAAGTTTGGCAATATCTTTCTAGCCAAAATGCCAAAATCAAAAAAAAAAATTATATTGATATATAGCATTGGACATCCATTGAGCCATATTATTCTTGCTGGAAATTTTGTGAAGAGTAAACAGTTGGTATTCATATCTATACATTCCCATTGCATTACATATCTATTATGAGCATTACCAATGTATTTCTGCTCTGTATAATAAAAATCGATCTTCTAGGGTCATCAAAACATTAGGTAACATGAAAGAGGGTTGGAGGAAATTTGAGGCAAGGTTACACTCTGCTACAAAGAAGATTTTTTTAATTTTAAATTTTTCAAGATTTTTGTAAATAATTCCTTTTATTCAGTCTGACACTTAATCAATAAATATTAACAAATTAATTTTTAAAGATATAAATAAATTAAAAAGTAATGATGTATAAGTTGTTACAAAATAAAAATATTTTTTTAACTATAGTATATTTATTGAATCTGTTAGATTACAAAGACAATATTCAAAACTAATCTACAGTGTAGAATCTGAGTAAAGTGGACAGTAGGCTGCTGCCCATGTATCCTTGATGGCGTATGTACCGCTTGTTTTCAGAAAATTTTCTCACCTATCCATCCTTTCTTCACTCAGAAATTGTCCCCAATCATATTGTTAGGCGCAGTCCACACTACAAACTAAATTCTGACTTCATTCATCATCAGTTTTAGTACATAACAAATAAAATTAATGCAAATTGTTTTACTATTATATAATTTACTTTTACTTATTGTAAATGGGGGTAAAGAGTTGCCACAAGCGTTACATAATTATTTAGGGGAGGTTTAAGTGTGCATTACAGGTGCATTACATGGGGAGAGAGGGTATTCAAATTACTCCAAATATTTTTGAAATAATTTATCGATGGCCCCTAATTGGTGTTGGTGCTTTTGTCCAAATGTTAAAAGAACATATCTCTTAGGTTACATGGTAACTGTGCTTAATAATCACAACATCAAAAGATATACATTCCCAATTATTTAATGAATCATGATTCTTGATAATGAAGTTATTTATGAGATTAAAGTTTTACTATTAGAAAATTATATTTGTTTATTTTTGCTATAATTTTTTGTACTGAAAACATTTTTTAATTGTATTATATCATGTTTCATGAAAATTTTAATTGGTTTTGATAATAATTGATAAAAGATCATATAGAGCACATTGCAGAAATATTTGACAAATTAACTGAAACTGGTTTAATTATTAATTTTGAAATAAAATGTATTTTTGCAGACATTGATGAATGTTCCTATGATGAACTTCAGTCAGAGCAGTGTGAATTTGGTTGTGTCAACACAGTTGGCTCATATCATTGTCTTGGACCTCAGAATGATGACACTTTACTCTCACCAACCACAGAAATCTTAGTTGCTTGTCCTGTTGGATTTTATCTTGATGCAGAAGGGAATTGTAAGGATGTGGATGAATGTAAAGAAAAGACAAGTGGATGTGAACAAGGTTGTCTTAACACTAAAGGCAGCTTTCAGTGCTACTGTGGTCTTGGTTACAAGCTTTCTGCAGATAACAGGACATGTATCGGTTAGTTCTTGTTTTTTTTCTCAGTATGGTTAATTTTGGTTAAAGAATGTATGCTGCCATTTCTTAGCATGAATAAGACAAATAACGTTTTCATAAGTTTCAAACAAGTTATCACATTAGTCTGTGGTATTGGATACTTTGTGATCACACACAATGGCCCTTACTTTAAAAAACTGGCGACTGTTGGAATTTTGTGAACTCTAATGAAAATTACACTTTATAGGCTTTGATATAATGCTTTCAAATACAAGGCATACTTTCAAACAACGTTAAGTTTTATATGTGCACTAAATAAGTAGAATAAGATAAAAATAATTTAATATTTGAACTTTATTTTAATTCATGTAACTTTTTCTAATTGTGTCATCAGTTTATGATGAGCCTTGTTTTAATGTCATATTATTTTGTAAGTTTGTCAATAGACCACATCCTACTCTTAGTCAAATGTAACACTCCTATTATTACACAATTGATACTAATATTTGCTTGTAGAGGACAGAGAGGATATTGAGGGAGACAGTGGTGGCCTAGCAACACTTTAGCCACTTGAATGGTTTTGGTAAGAATATCTATTGGGTCTCTCAATAAATTTGTCTTCCCACTTCATTTGTATTTTGTAGTGGGACCGCATGATCCAAGATGTTTTATCACAAAGTATTCTATAGTTATTAGTGTATTTTTTTGTTATTATAGAAACAAAGTTGAATGGAAGTTAGAAAGAAAGTTTAAAATATTAAATTCTCTGCTTAAAATATCCTGTATCAAGCATAATTACATTATAGTATTATATTTTCTTTTGTATATATTTTGAATACAAAGTAGTGTATGCATTTTTCTTTCTTGAGTATTGCTGACATAATTGTTAATTTCTGAACCAATAAAGGAGCTTTCTTTTCTTTCCAAATTGTTGTCATTGTGATTTTTTTTAACTTCTCTTCATGTTATGCATGTAAAAACATTATGCATGTGGATATCATATTTACACCTATTTCAGAAAGCAAAGATTTTTCCTATGTAAATGTGAAATTCAGATTTCTGTATTTAACCCTCCAAGGACAAGAATTATTTTTCATAAAAAAATTTGAATTTCTTTACATTTTTAAATCAAACAGCTTTAGTTCAAGCAAATGAAAAAATATATTTAAAAAAAAAAAAATTTAAATCATGCATCAGTGGCAAGTGGGAGGGTGTGATGTATTCATCAAACTCATCCTTTGAGAGTGATAACTGTTCTGGGTTGAAAGAGAGAAAATATTCAACAAATAAGACATGTATTTGCAAAATACGGGCACCTATTTGGTACAATGGCCAGTCAATGACTACAATATCAGTAGCAAACAAATTACACTTCCTTATTCAGTTCTTTTAAAAAATTTGATGATTTCGAACAGCAGAAAATAAGTATTAATTTTTGTAATATGAAACGGTACCTTGCATTTCAAGCATAAACCAACATCACATTTCATGCACATTGATGCAACAACGCTTTTGCACCCATCATTCACACACCTCGTTTCATTTTCCACTTACCTAATTGATGATCTTGTAGTGAATGTCGTCCAAAACTCACGTTGACCTCTTCAACAACAGCTGTTGAACCTATAGATTTGACAGCTGTTTTGTATCTTATAAGGGATATGATGGCAATGTGTCTTCTGAATTCCAGTTTCTCAATTTTTCTTCCTGATTTCTTTTAAATCTGATAAGCGTTATTTATCGCTGAGTCTATGAGCCATGTTAATATTGTCAAGTACCATTTCATATTTCTGATAGATACTAAATTATATTTTGATCCATTTAATTGGTACCCCCTACATTTCTATTGTATATGCTAGTAATTACTGGTTGAGGGACATTCATGTTTTTTCTCTTTTGTTGAATATCTCTTTACATTCTTGACTGGAGATTTTCTGAGCAAATATGATGCATCTACAACCACACTATTGTCAATCCATTTCCCAATGACAATTCCATCATTTTTTCTATTGTGCTTCCACATTCTATCTTCTTCATTTGTTCATCTGATGGTAACTTGCAACGTTTGTGACTCCTGTTTTTTGTAATAGTTCCAGTCCCTGAGTACCTGTATTCTTTAAAATGCTTCAGAACATTCAAGCTGGTGAATAAGTTGTCTGTAACTATATTGTAAGGATAATTTCTTTCATGATCAGACTATTTATCTAAAAATAAAATCAAGGGGGTTTTTCATATTCAGGGTTTGTCACTAATGTATTTTTCCTTGAAAGACTTAAAAATTTATCAAGTACCCAAAAAAGCATTCAGTCACCATGTTTTGTACCCAAACCTTATGAGTTTGTGACAAATAAACTACTTGAAAGGATGTGGGCCAAAATACTTCACTGTGGTTTCATTGTAATCAAGAAATTCACATTAACGAAAGTTATCAATAAAACGTTTCTTGAAAAGATTTATGACTGGGCAAAGCTTGAATAATATTTCATTAATGTCAATATCAGAATTATCAGCAACATGAAAGTATTTGGCAATGAACAACAATCGGTCTCTATGCATATATTCAGACTAATGTATTCTTCATATCTGAATTGGTACCTCTGTAACTTTTTTTCTGGCAAAACATTGTAGTGAGAAAGAATCTGAAAACCCACAAAAAACTTTATCTTTTCTGCCGTAATGTTCATATTATTTTCACTTTTTGACAAAGCGATGTTCTTGGACTCTTGAGGAAAAGGGAAATCACACCTCTTCATTTGTAAAGATCTCAAAAATTTCAATAGGAGTCATATTTTTATATTTGTCAGCATAGTTCAGGAAATTATCCATTTTTTTATTGAATCAACTAGATCTTCATTCATACATGAACGTTCCCTTTTTGTGGAATGTTTCGAGAAATTTTGTACCGGGCCTCCAATGGGAATTTCGTTAGACAAAACTACCTCAGCCTCACTCACCCAATGGTTGCCTCTCAAATTATCCAGCAGACCTCCTGTGTTCTAATCACCACTGTCTTTGTCAGGTAGCTCATTCACAGGTGGTGGTGCAATGAAAATATCCTCTTCTATATTATCATCACCATCACCATTGATACCTTGAATGTCTTCTTCAAGCAACTAAACTATCTCTTTGACAGTCAGTCCGTCTCTAAAACAGTTGTTTTTCCTGGAAAATGAAAATGAAAGCAAATTTTATAAAAATTCCGATTAGTGACTGTGTAATTGAAAGAAATGAAAAAAATAAGGAAACTGTGGAGAGTGTGAAAAGCAATGGAGGAGGACAAGGAGGAGGAGTGTGAACTTTTCATGCCGCCACAGCTTCCCATAATAATAATAAAATTAATTAAATAGTTTTCATTACTTTTAGAACTCTCTGTGATAGATATACCATTGAGATAAATTGAATTGATAACAATACAGGCTATGATTTCAACTTGCCAAGGATCTGGGTCCATCAGAAAAAAATCATAATTATTGAACAGCTGGGAAAAATATTAAAACACACTTTTCTCGGGTAAGATTGCACAATAAAACGGATGAACTAGACCCCTCTGTGACAAGAATACACTAGCACACACAGAAATATCCACAAGCAGTGATAGGAATTAAGTTAACTTGTTTTCTCATAACTTAATGTACATGTCACACTCGTCCTTGGAGGATTAACTTATAACACAGAGAACTACTAGTACTTTAAATTAAACTTAAAATTTATAATAAAAATTAGAACATTAGGAAAGGAACATTTTCTGTCCTTTGCTAATATAAAGAATTTTCATAATTAAATATTTTGAAGAATGATTTGAAAACATATATGGTCTATTAAGATATCAATAGTAATTTTATTAACTCTTCAATGTGGAATGCCAATTTCAAATGGCAAGTTTGTTTCACCTCTATTCATGGGTAGCCATACCTGGACATCAAAGACGTGTCTCTATATAGCAAGATGATGTGAAGACAGGAGGGGATTGTAGCAGTGCATTAAGTTGGCTACCTGGTACCTCAAAGTTGCACACCCCTTTTTTTCATTTCACCCGCATTGGAATGTTACCATGCCAATCCTATGCCCCACATTGAAGGGTTAATTTACAAGTGGAGTAAATGAATGATATATAATTATGTTCTTTGTTTGCAGAAGCAAAAGAAACTGTTTGCCCACCTCTAGAATCTCCACCTCATGGATATTGGGAATGTGCCCGTCATCTTATCAGAACAAAGAAATCAAAATTTCCCTGGATGAAGCGTACTAGAGTTGTGAATCATGCTGGAGCAATTTGTCAACTCAAGTGCCCCCCGGGGTATGTGTTGGAGGGGGAATATCGTAAAACATGTGGACAAGATAGCAAATGGAAAGGGCCTGACGATGGCACATGTGTTCGTAAATTGGATTATATGTTCAATGTCATTCTCAAAGCATAATTTTCTTTTGCAATAAAATGTATAACAAGGCAATATTGATCAGTATTTGTTGTAAAACAGCATACTGCCCATGTGTATCACAGTAATAAAATATTATTTGTAAGTAATATGTGTTATGTATCATATATGTTTTAAATGTTTCTATCAGTGTCCATAATCTTACAGTTTTGTGTATGTGTATTGTATTGTGTTACCCTATACTGTCAGTAAATTATAAAAGTGAAAATTTTGAATTTGTGTTAGCAATTAAGTATCAATTGTAAGTTTTCTGTGAATGTACTTTGTTTGCCATTTCTCAATATAGAGAAACTTGTCAGTTTTGATCTAAGTATTTACCAATACTCGTAATTTATTACTGAATGTGGCATATACAATTTCTTGAAGTAAATATCCAGAAAAACTTTTCAAGGAAAAGTTCAAATTGCCATTGTTATCGAAAGTATGAATATTTCTAGTTAATCATATAGAAAATGAAACAAGATAGGAAAATTTGCAAGTTAATGTGGTTGCACAGTTTGAGTTTGAATTTTTTCACTGTATTGACTTCACAATATTATCAGTGAGCATTTGATTCTAATTGAATTGTGATCAATTTTGTCACATACAAGTGGCAAATTTTGTAATTTATTAAAAAAGAAAAAAATGGTGTGTTTTGAATGATAGTGAATTTTTAAGTACAATAATATTTAAAATGATTGTGTGCTTCCAATATTTCTGTTAATGATTATTACAACCACCTTAGTTGGTTTTTGTTGTATCTGATTCATTAATTTTTATTTTTTTGCAGAAGTTCTACATCCTTTTGGTTAAGTTATATCCTTGAATTTTTAAAGTTCTGCTTGTATTTCACAAATTGAAAAACTATTTAATTTGTGAAATTTCAAAAATTTATGATTGAAAATGTATGGTGGGAGGAAAGATTACCACAAATATATAATTTTGTTTTAGTGAATTATATATTTCACGAGGAATTTTAATTTGGACTATTTAATGAAATACTCAGATTCTGAGGAATATTAGTCAATCCTTTTTGATTAATGTATGATATTATAAAAAAGGTTTGGAGCAATTATTATACATATATTAGATTTTTAAACTTTTGTATGTAATTCCTTTTTTCTTTGGGGAATTTTGTTTAATTATTTGGTATTAATATGCCAAGGTATTTATTGTTATATTTTGAATAAAGCTATGTCTGAAACACAGCATCTGTGCACTAGCCATTCCTCTTTATTGAATTTATTTTCAATGACTTATACAAAAGTTATTTAATTAATCCTTTTTTGAGAAATTCATTTCTTCTTAGGGTATGATTTCTTATTATCATTTATCCATTATATTTTACATATATTAACATGTCTATTAATGAATAATTTAGTGTTACCTGAGTACTAATATAGGTGAAAATAATTCTAAGAAAATACATTTTTGTTTCTCGGGATTTAGAAGAATATTGTTGCAAGTCTTTCATATGTTGAATATGTTTTAAAGTAAAAATAAAAAATGAGATTACTGCTGTACTTAGTGCATGACAAAAAAAAGGTTTACCTTTCTCTTGTTTTTCTTTGACAAATTTATTTAAGTTTGATTATACAAATTAGTTCTTTTTATTGGTCACATCCGATTTTAACGAAAACAATATTACCTATAAACAATGGCACAACCCGTATTTCTCCCCGAAAGGTGTGCGTTAGGTGTAGGCTTCAGCTGACTTGATGTTTTCTAATAATGAATTTTGCATTTATACAGAATTTAAAAGTAAATTTTATTTACTACTGTAATTTATAGTTCTTTGAAATATATGCAAATGAGGTACTGAATTTTATTTTATTACTATGGAAAATTAGTATAAAACATAATTGACTCTAATGTTTTATTATTTATTTTTAATGTTATGTTTTTGTGGTAGGGAAGTAGAGTATCCGAGTTCCCTTCGTAATATTTTTAATTGAAGAACACCTGAAAATGTGGCCACAGAGAGAAGCATTTTCATAAACAACCTTCGAAAAATTATCTCTTAAAAATTTTGAAATAAAAGTACATTGAAATGTGTTAAAATGAATTTGCTTGTAATGAGATAATCACATTTCAGATATGGACAGGATTGTTTATATAAGAGAAATGTTGCAAACAATCACTTCAGTAGTAAAATCTCTTCTAGGAAACGCTACTTTGATAAATATGCTAATCTGCAAACATTATTTGAGTGTAATGCTTGTGGTGGGTGTTTTTTTCCATATTTTTTTAAAAAAAATATGTGGTACTATGCCTTGCAGGCTGACAATGAATATCCTCAACTATTCTCTATGTTACTATTAATGTATGATCATATCATTCCAGTGAGGAGAAGTGAGCCAGTGAATATTCATTTTGATATCTTCAATATGTATTAGGGTATTAGTCCTTTTCTGCCTCCAGGAAATTTTGATGTCACTCTTTGACATCCTGTATATTTTTCTTGTATGGAATGGTAGTTAGAAACTCTTACCTTATAGTAAATATATCCTGAGGGAAAAAAAATAATTATTTATTCCATGTGTCTTAATGGATAAATCCGATTAGAAAATGTAGAAAAATTATGTGCGTAGAAAATGTTTTATTTAATAATATACCAATTATAAATATAAAGATATATAAAAATACTCTGAAATGAGTTATAAGGGTGGATGTATGTGTTTGCTTTTGCTATAAAAATGATGATAAATACAATAAGCAAAAATAATAAATTGAACTATGTTTTAGAATTGGTTCATAAATATTGTGCATTAGATTTTTACCTTAAATTATTTTCTACTTAATTATGTCAAAATGTTATAATTCTTCTTTTTCCCCTTCTTAATTGTAGAAGAGGGATTTTTGAGAACAGATAGATAAAAATTTTACTTCAGTAATAGTCAAAAGTCAACTGTTTTTAATGGTACTTTAATAATTTATTTTTATAAACTTCTAATCCATTTTTACCTGGGGAAAAAATAAACATGCGTACAATTAAATTTGACAAAATATAGAAACTATGACTACGACTTTTGTTGAATGGTTTTTATTAATCTTTTGGTTATTGTATTGACAAAGTCTTAAAACTTAAATATTTGTTTTCAAGAGTGAAGATGATTGCTTACAAATATAATATGGAAATTATACCAATTTTTTGAGAGATTAAACCTCCCAGCAGGACATATTATAACTATTTGAAATAATTAATAAAGTAGTTTTGCATTACTTTTTACTTTGTTTTTACTCCAGGTTAAAAAAGTTGTATTTTAATGGTCACAGTAGTACACAATTCGAAGCACAGTCGGATAAAACTTACTGTAATTTACATTGAAAAGAATTGATTTCTTTTAAAACTTGATATTTACAAAGTACATTTGCTTATCATTTCAGAAATTTACCAAGAGCTTCTTGGATTAAAGAAAAGGTTTTTCATATATTTTCTTTGTTAAAGTATGTTTTTCAATTAAAAATTCTTTGTTATCTATAATTCTTTGTTGTGAGAATGAATACAATCCTCTTATATTATGTTGCATTTACTGAGTGAATCATTGTATTGGCTTTATCATGCCTTAACAATGGGTATGGAAGTAATGCATACTTCAATTGATGTGCTGTTGTGTATTGGTGTCTAGTCTATTTGTGTATTAATGTTTACAGACAGCATTTTACTGGCTCACTTCATATGTAGAGAGGTTATTAAATGAATTAAACTTTAATGAAAACGATGATTGCATTCAACATTTGTGTAACTGTTGAACCCAGCATATCAAATATGTGTCAATAAGTTTCTTCCTTTATGATTTAGATTTGTTATGGAAACAGCAATCCAATCCAAAGTAAGTTTTCTCAATATTGCTGCCTTTCATTGACTGTTTGATTTTGAAATATGGTACACAGCTACTGAATTTGGCTTGCATAAGGTTTGTCTACAACTCGGTATAGGTCTCGAGTATATTATGATAACTGTATTACAATTAAGTGTCAAGTTATATTTACTTGATATATGAATTATTGTGTATTTTGACTTTACAATTTATTATGTTCATAAGTACAATAATATTATAATGGTGAATAAATAGTTATATATTTTAGGTACCCAAATTTTACATAAAACATTGCTGCAGTTTTAACGTAAAAGAGAGAGACTTAGTTCAGAGAAAAACTAAAAATATTTGGTACACAAGACTGTTGTAATTGTTAAAGGTGCAGAGAATATTAATAATATGACCTTTTCTAGTAGAAGAATTAAAAGTATAGGTACTTTATAAAAGGTAGTGAAACCTATTTACTAGTTCTTAAAGAATTGGAAGCCCTTCACTTGGTATATTCTCTGACATTTATTGAAACAAAATGATTTTTGATTGAAGAATGTTGCATGTTGTATTGCAAACATTATTGACGGAAAATATTCTATTTTCTAGACATTCATGAACGTGTAGTTTTTTCAGTGGTACTACAGAAAGTTATGATTTTTACCCTAATGCTTACTGACAATCTTCCAGATGTTTGATAATATTGAGCTGAGCATTATGGATGCAGAATATTTCTAGTGCTTATTAAGATGTGATTTGTCATATCATATTCTACCAATCACTTCACTTTTGTTTGCTATAACTTTTTTTAAGAAGGTTATTTAAAAATGTAATATTTATTATTCTTTTAGTTTTTAAGTAGGGACTGTAGATTTGTTGGGCATAATTTTGTTGGAAAGAATATAATGATATTGGATAAGAATTGTTGTATGTAAATGTGCCAACTTTGATAGATTTTTAAGATTATATATGCTTGCTTGAACTGATCAATGCAGGTGGAAAGACCTCTAATAATTTATGATTAACATGAGTATAGCAGAACTCTGAGTTTATATTTTATTTCATTTAAATGTTTGCTCTATTGTTCATCTAAGTTCATCTTTAAGGTTAACTAATGTAGTACATTTATTCTCTGTAAATGAGATTAATTTTAACATTGATTCTTTTTTAAGAAAACACTTGTTTGCCCACAATAAATCTGAAATTGAGCAGCAGTAATAGCTTTCAATGTGAAATCTTCTAAAACTTTTAATTTTTTTATCATGTGTAAACCAGTTGCTAATGTACAGGAACTTACCTATTTTTCATAGTTAAACATATTATCCTTATATGTCTTAAGAGTCAATTCAGAAAACAGCACAGTTATATTGAGAATTATGTAATTGCTTTTCTGTATAGTATATTCCACTATTTTATTGGTTTGGAAAACACTACTTGGAAGTTTATTGGTTCACCTTGTACGAGTTCAAGTGTTCTCTTTATTTTTATTTTCGTGGCAGCAAATTGCTCATAGTCTTACTTATGAATTCCTTGGATTTAAGATATGTTTTGTTTAAATTAGTGTTGTTTTAACTATGTTCGTTGCTGGACAGATAAGGTTTCCTGCAGACCAGAACAGGAATAGAATGCTTCAGTATTGCATAAGAAATTAATCAGTCTAATAAAAAAGTATTTCTTACATTTTTAAGGCTTTATATGGAAAATATATTGTTTGTTTAAAGTCGGCCAGGTGACCTACATACAAAAATCATTTTTTCTAACTTTATAAAGATCAGGTTGTCAAGTGCCATTAAAGTTAAAAGTTAAAAATATTCAAAAATATTGTGTATGAAAAATAACTGCAGTGAAACTATATCACACAAGCTTTATTTAATCCAACAAATTGATTTTTTAACATCCTATGTGTTTTTTAGTTTATTTCTGTCATTATTCAAATAATAAAATTAAAAATTCACAACTATTGGATTATGTTTATGCCCATTGGTGTCTGTGAAATGTTTGAAATACAAGAAAAATATTTGTTATTGTGAACTTGGTATTTCAATTTTTCTTATAAGTAATTTTACTGAGAATGCTGATTTTTTAAAAATCTGTATTGTTTATGACACTGCATTATTAAATGTTACCACTATTGTTTTTAGTCATATTAACTCACTATTATAAATCAGGTACAATTTTTAATTTCAGAACATTTCTACTTTTTGTGTAATAAACACAAGATCATGTTCCACATCTAGAAGTATATAGAATACTTAGTATTCCCCATGTGAAAATAACTCTGTAATTCCATGGTTTATTACAAACTTTTCACCCTTCCTAACAAAATACCACTTGCAAATTTTTGTGACACTTTCAAAATTAATTAATTATTTAAAATTTATGGTTTTCCTCAAAATGTGTTTCTTTCACCAGTCACATATCACATGGTAGAATTTTAATTAGTAGTTGCCAGGTGCTACACTAACAACATTTTCAAGCTTCTTATAGACCCTTCTTGTAGATTTACTCTGCTCTAAGAGACACCCAGAGATTTGAATCATTCCTTTGTCTAAAGATACTGCACTAGAATGAAAATGGAGAAAGGAAAATTTGTTGGGTCACAAGAAATGTCTAAAAAATAAAAATAAAAAATAAAAAAGACAGTAAACTACTTAACATTAATTAAATACTATTAACAGCTCATTGCTCATGATTCTGTTTTTCTTCATTAATTTTCAGTTTGTGTTTGATAAAAAAATTGATATGATACCAAAAAAAACAACTTTTAATTGGGACAATATGTTTTAATGATTATGATTTGTAAAATATACATACCTTTTCGACTGAATGGTAATTAGAATGATTTAAGACACTTGTATGACTTAGAAGGTATGGTCACTTTCATAGCTATGTATTTGAAGTAATCTTTCATCAGTAATAACCTTCAACTACATTTATAAATTATGTAATCAACCTTCTACATAGGGATAACAAAAGACATTAGATTTTAGTGCCAGCATAAATAGAGCAGTTAGAAGAAATAAATTGTGCAACATATTAACAATGGATATTTTTAAGACATTAAAAGAAAAATTGAGAATTATTTCTGGTACAAGTGAATAGGTGTTTCCAAAATGCTTGTTGTATTCACGATAAGGACGTATATTGTTGTTATTATTGTAATATTATTATCATTGTTAGATTAGTATTATTATTTATTATCTGTTTTGATTATTTGTGGAACAGAAAATATTGAATATTTGATGCAATGTTGTATTTATTCTGTGTTTTGTTTCACTGTTACATATCTAATTGTAAGTGTAAAGGACTTATTGTATGTAATTCTTCAACAGATTTTAAGAGTTCTTCAACTATTTGGAGTTAATACTCTCTCCAAATTCTTAAAGAAGTACCATATCAATACTAAGTATATACATGCGTAACTTATTTTGATGTAATTGTCTTTGTTGTCTTCATATTGTGTGTTTCAATGTTCTGTTTTATGGAGATATCCACTGAAGTTGATGTAATAAATGTTCCTGTGATATTGGCAGCAGTGTGTTTTATTATCTATCCTGAACCTGTAAACATTTTCTGAAAAATTTGTTTTAATTAAATGTTTCGGTACTGAAAGTAATAATGAAGTTCAACACATTGGGAATAAGGCTAGAATTTGATAACTTATAATTTTTTAAAAAATTTGGAAATACGATGATAGCCAAATAAGTTAATGAAATTGTGGATATTATGACTATTATATAGTGGAGGCTTTATTGTTGAAATAACTGATTCTTTCCTATGTTCAGAGATTTTCTGTGTTTCGTTAAGATGACCTCTGCTTCTATGAATTGTGAACTCAAGATTCCATGATAAGTGATGACCTCAAACAGTCCACTTGGATTCTGAGGGTAGCATCAAAAACAATTGTCAGTATCAAATAGAAAAAAATGCTTCTAGGAATCGTTCAGAACTTGAGTTAATTGAATTTACAAAATGTGTTTGAATTGTGAACTTGCACCTTCATTGAAATTTCTTTAACTACCTACGTAAGTTCACATTCCTTCCATTACAAATGCCCATAGATTAACGTACTAAATGTCAATACACTATTATAACGACATTATTCCTTTTTTGCATACTCCATTCTGATGCTATCTGTTTCTTCTGATTTCTTTTACAAAATTAGTTTTCGTTTTTCTTCTCTTCTTTCTTTTCTTTTTAGGCTGTAGCCTCTCTTTTTAAACATAGGAAATGTATTTTAAAACTGACATTCCGTGAAACCACTTTCATGAGATCACATTCTTTGTTGTTCAGGCTGCCTTAAATTCACAAAGTTTCTATCCATTGTGTTCCATTTCATTTTCTAATATATGTAATTTTAATTATTTTTCAAAATTTCATGAACAATTTTATATCTGAAAAATTGACTTTCTAAGATGATTCCCGGAGAAGCAAGTGTTATGATTCGTGCTTACAACAAGCTCTGCCTATTTCGCTTCCAAACACATGGAGGAAAGGCAATTTTTGGAGAGGTATTTCCGGAAGCCAAATGCTGAGCATTTTTTGCTCCCAACTTCAGGATTGGTCGGTAGCCGACTCGTGTAGTATTTTTAAAATTTATGCGGCATTTGTTAAACAAAGGGAACTCACCCTATTTAGAATAATATGAAACATTAGAGAGCTGAAAACCAGGAATATCTAACTAGCAACAATGTTCATGGTAATATACGGTAGCGTTGTGTCCATGTGTCCGCTCCACCCCCGCTAGGAACTTCGGTGTGGTATGTGGTGGAGAAATGAAACGAGCCGTTTGTAAAAGCTTGAAGAAAAGGCTTACGGAGGGCTGCGTATGGATTGACTGTCAAAAAAAAATAGGAGTTGTCATGAGATGTTAATTTCTTATAAACAATTAAGTATCTCGAAAACAAAAAACGATAGCGCCGATCAGATTGCATCTCATTTAAAAGCAATTTAGAACAGGTAATAATTTTGTTTGTGCAAAATTAAAAAAAAATTATAAACCCTTTCCATTTTTTTCAATTTTAAAGTAGAAAGGAGTACCTGATGTCCCAGAACAGAAAATTTGACAACAAATTAACAAGTTTGCAGCAATTAAAACATTTATAAATAATTCCTAAATCTGTGCAATTTCTGCCAGGCAATGTCCCCAAATTGTTTTTGAGGTAAATATATTACAAACTAACAATTTTTACAAGAGATGCAAAATTATTGCTAATACCTACTTTATTTGTTACATCTATCTATCTATTTATCTATATATAGATAGATAGATAGATAGATAGATAGATAGATAGATAGATATAGATATATGTAACAAATAATATATTATATGGATATTTGATAAAGGTCCTGGATTATTAATAAACAATAATAATGAAAGTAAACGTGTATGGGAATCTAAATGCTCTAAAATGAGTGCTTTTTTTCTCAAATCAACGTAATTTCTTCAAAAGAATTGTGTTAACGCTGGTTAAACATATACACAGAGAGAGAGTGAGGCAGAGAAACAGAGAGAGACAAGATAGAGAGAGAGCAAGAGAGAGATTAGAAATAGCAGAGATATTCTTTGTAATATTTTTAATTTGGGGAAAATTGAATCACATTTGTTTTTTTAAATAGAGCTACGTAGGATTTTTACCAGAAATGAATTGGCCATGAAACGAGAGATACAATGATGTGTCATTTGGTAATACTTTAAAAGTGTAAAAATATATTTTTGACACCTGGCTTGAGCTATCTTCAACTGTAAGGTAAGCAACGTTTATCATTGGCTGTTCTAGCAATTTAAGTTGCCTATCCTCGGAAGTTTTTCCCCCTTTCTCCTCAACTTAAAAGACATAAAATGCGGAGTCTGAAGAATGTGGCACAGTCTGTAACACTCCCCACCCCCCAACCCCGGAGAATGCTCTACTACGTCCTCTTGAGAGGGTAGGTTCTTGAAGTATAAAATCGTGCAATAAATTGTGGCGAAAAATTTAAATTCAACGCATAAGCAAAAAAGATTTTTTTACTTTAAGTTGTAATGCTACACTCATTTTTAAAAAATATAGAAATAAGACGTACAACTCACTGGTATACACACGTTTTAAGAAGACGAAAATTGTCGTATTACACACTCAGTTTTCTACATTTCACAGGCAGTATTTTGTGAAGTACACCATTAATTTTATAATATGACCTTGAGATAATCGATATTATACATAATTGAGATATGTGTAATTACAGACATTTCTAATGGATGGTACGGAAAATTAAGTACGAGTTCAGTTAATTTTAATGAAAGAGCAATTTTCCGAGGGAAATGTTTTCTTAATGCATTTATCGCAAATTCCTATACTTTCTTGCATTCATTTGTCCCTCAAACGTCAATGTTTGGATACGACCTTCAGAGTGGTTGCTTGGATGAGTTGGCTTGCTATCGCATGCTTTAGAAACCTTGAATTCTTACAGAAGTTCTCGAAACACGTAAATTCCACGAAGGCCATATCAGACGTACAGTTGTCGCGCAGTACGCGGCGGATTGTGCGTCTGCACGTAGATGAAAAAAAAAAATGAATTGACCTCTCCAACTTTCTTTCTAAGAATCGGAGAGGCTGTGATTCCTAGGGTGATAATAGTGTAGTAGATATAGTAATTTCTTGCTGGATATTCAGTATAATAAGTCGAAAAACATTTCCTCAATATCTTTAGGCTCTTACGCATGTTCGGATCCTGGCGGAAATATCAGATTTCATCTTCGTACAAGATATAATCATCGATACAACTGAATTATAAGTTATCATTCAAGTTCAGAAGGAGAAAAGGCGAAAGAAAATTTGATTAGTGCACGACAAATGAATTTAAAGGTTCAAGTGATATCACAGAAATATTAGTCAACTATAAACTTTTTAGCTGTTGCCTGATGATATTCTGTCATTGATGCGTTTTCTATGCGAAGAACATTTTGAGATTTGTGAAAAGCATTTTAAGACGTGTGGAGGCAGGTCGTCAAAGACCTGCATGTTCTTAAACGACTGGGTATCTTATCGACGCTGACAATCGGAAGTGGGGAGATTGGGAGGAGCCGGGGATATCATATAATAGTGCGAGGCAAGGCATTGTACATCGAACACCATTCTTCAATGAACATGAACTCGCAGTTCACGGTAACTTAACAAAGTATATTCCATGTCATAGTCATAAGAGATAATTACAACGATTAGGACCAAATCCCTAAGCGTAAACTTTAAATACATATTTATAACAAGAACAAATTGCTTTCGTATTTACCGATATAACTCGATCGTGGATTTCTGCATTGACGTTTTTAAGAACATTGCACTTAGCAAAGAGCAGTCGTGGGTATGTCGAGCATATTTATGTTGGTAAGAAACTACCCTAGAAATATTTGACAAGAAGAAATTTGGGATTACAAAGTGAGATTACAAAGCGATATTGCACTATAATTCGTATCAGTAATATTGCAATATCCGACATGTGTCCACGTGACCTGAATTCAGGGCAAGAGGGGAACGTGGGAAGGGTGTTGGCGGTAGCCGGGCGGGTGTGCGCGTTAATCGTGATTGCGGCGGCCGCAGTAGCAGTGGCCGAACCGCAAGTGGGGCCGTGGCCGGGGGCGAAGCAGGGGGATGAAGCGAGGTCGCAGGCGGGGAAGGGGGCCGGGC